TTTTTCATGTGCTGCCTTACATTCCTGGGGAGACAGGAGAAGATGACAGAAAGTGTCTTTTTTTTCTTAGCTAAACCAGTTAGACAAGAGTGCACACTACTAATCCGCTAATAGCAGAGCTAATTTTTCCATTTAGTGCTTTTGTTAACTTTGAAAATGTTTAGGGCACTTGAATTTTACCAGATAAAATTCCAAAGCATAAATTTACTTGTCTGTTTTGTAATTTTCATTTGAATAAAGTTCTACCTCTGTGTAACAGTTTTGGCTACAGACTGTTATGATTAGTACTTGGACTCATCCTCTTATTTTGAAGGGAGTGAAGACTGTTTACAAAGCAGCTCCATTTCCTTTCCCGCCCAACAATCTCTCTCTCTCTCTTCAAGAAACTTTATTGAGCAAATGATAGTGAAACAAACAAATGAATAACGCATACAAAAGATTATAACACTTACCTGAACAACCAGGGTGTTAATTATACAAGTATTCACAAAATGTTATTATTTTTGAGAGACTCCTTTCATGTCATCACAAATTATGCTCATCCACAAGGCTGAGTTTAGCGCTTTAGCATTCCACTGAATGCTGTGCTGTTTCAGTGCTTTAGCATTAGCTTAATTAGCATGTATTATTAGTGCTGTAGGGTTAGCACAACAACAGTTCAGTTTGCATTTAGACATAAGCAACTACTGGCTCCACAGTCTGTCAGTCTGGGTCTCTCAATCACCACCCACCACTAAAAATGACACCAAGTCATGTCAGCAGCAATTTGTTTCAAGTAAGTTGGCTGAGGAGTTTTGTAGCCATTAACATATCTCTGTGAAAACTCTGTTGACATCAACTTTAGACCTTTCTAAGAATTTCTTGGTGTTTGTGAAGAGTGTGAATCTATTTTTAAAGCTTGTAACAACAATTTTAATTAGATTATTTTATCTATTAATTTAGAGTGAGTTTTAGATTACATTTTGATGAGTACCATCATCCAATTAAACTTTAAATATGATCCCTGAACACCACTGGAACCTTTGCTTGCGTACAATCAAATGTAGGCAAGTACTTGCCTAGACTTTATTTATTCTCTTTTCCTTTTAGTTTAAGACTCTCTGTAGAAATTTGGTTCCACCGACCGGCTTAGGAGCATTTCTCTAATTTTAGGTTTATGTTGCAATCAAAGTTTGTTTGCTCTAAAATAAGATACATTTATAACTTTGTATATTTTACCTCTTATCTTAACAAGGCTGTAAATTTAAGACTAATTAAGCGTGTTGTACCTTTGGTGCCTTTAGCACCAGGAGCAAAACAGAGATCAAACTTCAAATCTGGTTTGTGAAAAAAAAAAAATTGAAATAAACACAAAATTGGCCTACAACCACTAGAAAGTGTAATCCAGTGTATTAAGATTATAAGAACTAGCACATGGACATCATAACATCCCCCCACTAGTAAATTATCGCACCTGACAGTCTCTGAATAACATTTAGCAATTTGCATAGATTCCCTAGGAGGATTGTTTCCCAACACACCGATCGCACCCCAACCTCCCTTTAGCATTCAGCCTCAAACCGGTGAATCTACTGCTCACTAAGCCCTAACACTGATCGCTGATGCGGTGGGCGTGCTGTCAATATTGGCCCATTCACTGTGAGTGAGCAAATCTCCCCTTGACATGGCCAGCCATGCGAGTAATAGCTAGGATTAAGATAGGAAGGTACACACATGAATATACAAAAGACAGCACGGGGGCACGGGCGGATCTGAGGCGGCGGCTCGGGGAAATTACTGATAGGCCTGGGATGTGAGCGGCACACACGAAAACAAGACTGACTGGGAGCTCGGACATGAAGAGACTCATTCACTGTCAGCGACCGCGATGGCGGGTGACGCTTTTACATTTGGAGCCATTGTGAATCTATCAAAGTAATTTACCCGGTTGTGCAATATCATGCGAGAGTAGGAGAAAAAATCAGGCAGCCTGATTATGAGGTGCTGTAACAGGAGTGTGCACCTGCATTCAGATAAATGCATGACTTATTTCTCTGCAAACAAGGTCAGCTGCTTCATGATAGCCACAGTTGCCATAGCTGCTGCCTTAGAAGCGGTTTGTTACTCTCTAACATTATTTCCTCTCTTTTTAGAAGAAATTTGAAAAGATATTGTTGCACTTTTTGATTTTGCTTGACACTGCTGCGACATTTCAAGTGATGGCTGACCTGCTTATAGAAGGATGTTTAGCAGCAGTAGCTTTCAGTGGTGTTTTTCAGTCTCTGAAACTCTTCACTTCACTTCATCAAGGTTCCGATACATTCATTTCTCTTCAGGTCCTGCCACAGCTTTTCAATCAAGTTGAGTCTTGACTTTGATTTAGCCTGGCAAGAATGATAAGGTCAACATGTACGGGTGGTGCAAGTCACGACACAGTTATCATCTCTTCGACACACTTTTTGAACCTGTTCTAGTTGGAAGTTTTAACGTTTTTGAAAACTATCCATGGTAACTCCAGTGAGTGTGTTGTTGACATTTCATGAAGCTCACCAATTATTATTCTCTTCCAGATAATCTGTTGATTTCCAATGATGTTTGGTATAATTGTTCTGTTGAGACAAATGTAAACACTTTGGACCAGAAGTATTTGTTTGTTCTTGTTCTTGACTGAGGGCCACGGACAATGCAAATGTTAAAGTTACTGTGTTATTCCTAACACTAAAGTGCTACGCCAACAGAATTTAGCAGAAGCTAATGCTAGAGCACTAATTCAGCCATGTTGATATCCTCCATAATTCAATGAGACAATAAATACATTAGTGCTTTAGAATTTATCCAGAAAAATATTTTAGGAGACGCGGCATCTACTCAACGTTCCCAAAGTTAGCAAAATTGCTAAAGCGCGAAATGAAGAATTAGCACCTCTTTAGCATATTAGCAGATTATCTGAAATGTGTCCACCTCTGATTTAAGATCATTCTTAAATTAACCTACTATCCTGTTTTTAGACAGAAGAGGCTGTCAAGACTTTCATCTGTAGTATTTTTCTGATTGTACTGTATTGAACTTTGCAGCTAACTGCTACACACCTGTATGCAGTAGTTACCCTGATGGTAATCAACTTATCAAGCATTTGTATTTGATTATCAGCACCTTGCAGCTTCTTTCTCTCTTGGCTGAAGCCAAGAGGAACATGGTTTTTAAATGCCAATGTTCAGCCATATGGCTGAATCTAAAATAAGTTTCCAGGGAGATAGTGATCAGGGAAAAATTCACCATTATGAAAAATCTCCTTAGACTTTGCATTTATTGCTACATAAGGTTAGGCATGTGCACACATTGAGATGTAAGCTCCATTTTCCTCACCCTGTCTCTTTGCGTTGCAGGATGAAATGACTGTGAATGCTCTCATTAATTGGACGCCTGACAACAGTCATTGTCCTTTTGCATAATGTGTCAAGCTTCTGCAAAATATTCCTTTCAGTGGTCCTCAGTTGAGGTCAAGGCCATACAAAGACAAAAGTAAATGGAGCGGCGAATCATAGCCTATTTTTCTTCTAACTGACGCTGATGCGACGTTACCCAACAGGCACCGGGGGAGACAGAGGGTGAAAGGAGGGGAAGCAACTTAAGGAAAACTGAAGGGAATTATGTTGTGGATGTTTTAGCATTTGACTACTCGTCCCTGCTAAAATGCAGGAGTGGTGAATGCAAATGGCTATCTCTGACTCCCACTCATAGTTGCCTAATTGGCACTTAACAGCAGCCCCTCATGGCCTCCTGGCTGGCTCGTCTTTTTACTTGGCATCGGAAGCAACAGCAGCGCCACATCAAACATCACTCAGAGGGCAGCTTTCGCCTGGCCCCTCGGCTCCCTTAACTACCCCCCTCCACCTCCACCCTGCTTCTATTCCCTTCCCTTCCAGCTATATGGTGGAAGGAAGGAGTTTGCACCCCAGGCACCCCCAAGCGCTCATTATCTCTGTTCCAAGTCGGCCTGTCGCTCTGAAATCCACCCCTCTTCCACTCTCCAACAACTCATCACCCACCTCCACATTCTCCCCTCTTCCCCACGGAGGAGCAACATGAGGAAGATGTCAGGATATTGAAGATGTTCTGCCACTAGGCTTTGAGCCAAAAGAGGCAGCATGTATGCCAGGCATATGGCCACATTTTCAAAATCTTATCTTCCTTTAATCAGGCCCATCAATCAAGAGCAAATTTATTTTTCTTTTGTGGAGCAAAGAGCAGACGTTTGGCAAAAAAAAAAAAAAGCGCTTGCTTTTACCTTCTCACAGGACAAAGGTTAGGACGATGCTGTACAGAAGGCAATTTTAGCCTCTGGATTTGTGTAAATGTTCTGTTCAAACACATCGGGGCATGCGGATGTCATATTACGCCAAATGAGCAAAAATGAGGCAAAGCACAGACACTTAAGGTTCCTCTGTTGCAGGAGGCAGAAAGCAGCTGAGGCCAGGTGGGACGTGTGTTTCTGCAAACATCAGGCAACGTTTTCCATGCAAATTAGCTTGTTCTAAAAAAAACCCCCAAAGAAACAAGCAGAGAGAAACGAGTACAATTAATGCTAATGTTCGCTTCCTTAAAGTACCAATAAAGCTGTCATGATTCAGGTTTTGGGTGAGGTGAGGTAAGACGCAGGCATGCCCAGGATGATGAAAATAATTAATTTTAATGAAATGTCCAAAACAGAGACGGCACAGGGAACAGATTGACGACATAACACACGACGAGGATCCGACACAGACAAAGACAACAGGTGGGGTTAAATACACAGGGAAGGTAATCAGGGAACGGGATACAGCTGGGAGCAATCAACAGGGAAGATAGATTCACAGGGGAAACTGGACTAACAGAAAAACCTAAAAAGCTACACAGAAAACACAGATCCTAACAAAAGCTAAAAACAAACCAATTAATTTCTGATGTTTCAACTTGAAATGGAACCAATAAAGTGAACTTTACAACAAAACGACGCTATGAAGTTTGAACCCTTGCGGCGTCAGCTAGCCATATTAGCATCCCACTTGAGGGAACGCTGAGTTGGAATAGAAATGGGCCGGTTCAGTGAGCAGAAGGGAGAAGAGGTCCCATTCGTCTTGTCCTGTTTAAATACACTGGTTAACTCCTGCCAACAGGGAAGCCATTCAGCAAAAGGCCAAGGGCATCTGTCATGTGTTCAGCACACGGACGCCGTCCCCCTTCCTTCTTCCTCTTTTCCCCCGCTCTTCTGCCACCACTTCCCCACTCTGTTCATCTCAGTGCCGTCCCTCCTGCCTTTCCCCGCAGTTCGCCTCGCTCGCAGTGCCTCTCCTCCTCCTGATGAAAGGAGTGAATATGCAGGGAGCTGACATGATTAGCAGCCTCATATCCCCATGATGGATGGCGCCTGCTCCATTATTAATATAGTAAAAGCACCAACTGCCAGGTAAGAGCAATGTCAGCATCCACAATATAACGCTGTGTGCCCAGGGATAATGGTGAGCACTTATTTTTTTTTTATTTTTTATCTATGATATGCATGAGAAGGAGGAAGTTACACTGGGAGCGCACAGAGTTCCAGTTTGGCTAATTCCAGCTGATGAGGCTGGAACAGGTCGCATCAGAACCAATTAGCTTGATGATGTTAAAAACAATCAGAATTATGCTGGATTATTTTACAACTTCAGGCTGATAAAATAAAACAGAAAAGAGAAATGGGTTTTTGATATACAGTTTTAGCTGTTGGCTCTTTGCCAAAGTATTCCCAGAAAAAATATTTAACAGGTAAAAATATAAAAGGTGTTTCATGCATTTCTATGTAGCCTACCCGAGTTAGCTTTTAAAGTTGCTCATTTTGTTGAGGTACTTTCAATTAGCACACCTTTATTTCATGTCTTCCTATTATAGGACATGATACAAAGGCAAATTCTCTTTGCCCTCTCTCAAGATCTTCAGAAATTAGGAATGAATACAAGAAGACTTAAACCTCTCTCTAAATTTAATCGTCTTCTGTACAGTGGTGGTATGTCTACAGGGGAATGATTTTAAGAGAAGTACAAATGCCAAAGCGTCATCTCCGAGGTCACCAAATCTCCATGACAATCTCTAGGCAACATCTACAGGTAAGTTGAGAGCCAAAACAAGAAAGAAAAAAACAAAAAGACAATCACAAATGTAACCTAATTTGGGCTGAAATGAGGTTGGAGGTTTATGGGTATGGATATGTGGAAACCTCTTGATGTACACTACTACACTACTAAGTATGGAGTAGGATGTGTGATGCTGAGATTTCCTGGAAACCTTATTAGGAGATTTGATGATGTGCAGCATCATCAAATCTTTGGAATACCAGAATATTTTAAGTGAAACTATGATTTATCTGGCAGAAAACTCAAACTGGCTCATCTTTAGGGTTCTTCATGCTTTCTTCAATCGGTTCTCTACAAAAAGCAAACTTCTGCTTCATCTTCTTCAAGGCCTTTATCTTCTTGGACTCCTTGCACACTAATAAAACACACTTCCAATGAGCAGAGGGGATGAGCTGGGGGTTCATTTTGGTTCATATATTTCTTCAACTTTTCATGAAACCGCTTGGATATAATAAGGAAAACAAGTCTTGAAAAACTTGCCTCATCCCCATTAAATGCACTTTTCTTCACATAAAATTGTTTACTTGAATGCACTTTATTTGACTTTGCATTCCCTTTTTGCTTCCTCTGAACACACGGCAGCCTTTGGAGCGACAGCTGGCCCCAAACCCCAGATGATCCCTCACAGGTACGGAGGTCAAAAGTTGACGAGAACCTGGTCGCTCTTTGATCTCCCACCCGAAACCGGTAGAGTTTGCTCTTTTTTCCACCACAGGTATGTCACAACTTCAAAGGTCTTCACAGAACGAGTTTCAGAGGAAAGCATCACCGTATCCTGGTCTCTCTGTCTCTCTTTGTGTCTCTTTGTGTTGGCTGGTTCACAGTTGTTGCTGTCGCACTTTGTTTTGCTTAAATGAAATGATTGAGTCCTGGCTCTGTGACGGCGTTTCAAGGTAAAGCCGCCTCACATCATTACCGCTGACATTAGCAGGTGACAGTGGCAGCCGCCGAGCCGCCGCCGCCTCTCGGTTCAAAGCTTCTCTGCAGCGTAAACAGATGAAACAAAATAAAATCAGACAGGCAAAAAAAAAGAAAAGAAAGTGAAGAGTTGGCTGAGTAAATCATCAATTTATAATCTCTACCTTTCACTTGCACGAAGAACTAAATTTTATCCTGATAATCAAACCTGTTTATTTTAAAAGTCAAGCACTTCAGATCACAAATAGTATTCTACATTTGTTCTTGTCCCCCTAAACGTGGCTTTAAACCTCTGAACGCAGAGATCAATAGTGTATAAAAAAACATGTAGGGTTGCATTTCCTTGGTGCGTCTCCAATCTCCCAAGTGCAGAGGCCATGCAGTCAGATACTGTAAATTCCCTTAAGATTATCGATTTAGGTTGCAGGTTGCAGAATCGGGAGCCTCGTCGACAGCAGAGCCAGCTGACCCCGGGGCAGGGCGCTGGAGCAGAGCTGCTGCTGCAGAGAAGGACCGTGAAGAAGTGCTTTAAATAGTTACATTCATGGCTGAAATGTGTTGTGGTAATTCGATCTGCAGCAGAGCAACAACACAAAGGACGGAGAGGCGGGTGCAGCCATGTGATAGTCATATGACGTTAAGGTTGATCTCAAGCATAGGCCCTTTGGGTTTTTTTTTTTTTTCACAGAATACAGGCAGTCTTTTGTGTGATACAAAGAACATGATGTAAAATGTTCTCAAAAACAATGACTGCACTGGGTTGTTTGATTGGAACTGGATCCAGGTTGATAAAACACGCAGGCGGAGATGATTTTGACTGATCCAACAACATGGTACAAAACCCCGAAAACACTCCTTGTTCTGCGAGTGGGGCATCTATTTGTTTGGCAGGAAAGCGCTCCCCATTAGCGTTTAAATTGTTGTTGGAAATAGAGGCCGTCCACATTAACAGCCTCGTCCTTTAGCACATAATGCTCCCGCCACCAGCGTGCCTTGTCATTACGGCCATTTCTGCTCCATTATTTCAACACCAAATCACCAAATCCGCCCGCCCCTCCTTTGCAAATTCGCACCCCTCCTGCTCGCCTCTGTGCAGCGGAGCTTGCACTTCAAACTGCTCTGAAATGAGCTTGCTTTGCCAGGCCGGCAGCTAGCCAGACCAATCATCCATCTGCAATAATAGAAATCTTCTGGCTGATGATAGACTGAGGCAATCACTGGGCAGTCTGAGTGGGCTCTTCACTCTGGCCTCTCCAACCCTGCTGTTGGTTGATAGTGGAGAAAGGGCCAGAGGGATGTTGGCATAGGTATTTAGTTGGTATGTTTGCTGTCTGGATGGATAAAGATTGAGGGGATAGAAAATCTAAACAACAAACCCAATAATGAGGGTATCTGTCATTTAAATTGGAGTCATACATTGTGCTGGATTTTTATGGTTCAGACGATCCTAGAACCTTTTCTGTGTTGAGTTTCCCAGTTTTGCATGTCTATTTACTACTTACTTTGCATAAATGATAAATACAAACTGTAGCATAAAAAGCAAAAATAATAGAAGATAATTTAATACATGTACTTCCCTGTAAATTACTGTTTCCTTTCAAATTAAATTTCAAATTAAGCTAAAAAGCAAGTTAAAGTGAACTAGACATCCCTAAAAAGACACCTGAAAGTTCCAGAACATTCCAGAGAACAATTATACAGAACAGCAATGTAATGGTGCTTTCACAACAAATGAGTTATCCGCGTCAAAATTGCGTTTGACGCTTCAAGTTCGATGTGGGTGCCGGTCAAGTTTTAACACAGCTCAGATGTCTGAAGTACACTTTGCTCTGAAAAGTAAAATGTAGGACATAAGTCTGTAAGTTAAAAAAAATATTAAAAGGTTACAAGTACACAGTCTGGAAATTGTGTAGATGACTGGAATAGCTGCAATTTTACCTGACATTTATGATCTAGATGAGTTAACACGAATTACAGTTCAGTCATCTAAAGAACCCGGTAAGTTCTAGTAAAGTGGCCTTCATATTCCAAGAACGTAACTTGTAAGTTGTAGGAAAGCAAGAGATACAGTTGCAGCAATGAGTCCAGCTGTAGGCCTCATTCAACCCAGCATGGAATGGAACGGCTGTAAGAGAAGGCAGCTTTTCAACCTTGAGCCGTTTCTTTCAGTCGCCAATATCTGGAGCGCATGCTGCCATCCATACAGATCACGACTTTTACATGTGGATGAATTTATGTAAATCTGCCATAATGGTTTGAAACACAGCTGGGAAATAGAGGGTGTTATATTCAATGCTTTCAAGTAGGTAGCAACCCTCCCACAATGAAATAGAAAAGCAACACTCTGCAGAGGCACAAGTAAAAAAAAAAGTAATTTTTTCAGAGGAAAAGGACAAAAAGCTTAAGTTTGGTCCTGTCTGTGCCAGAACTGCTGCCGTAGCAACCTACTGTATTCCTGAAATCAAGAAGCTCTTCCACACTTTGGTCTTCTCCAGCCTGTATAACACTTAGCATCAGGATTCAAAAACATTTAAACGCTGCAGGATATCCAAAACAGATCCTGATGAGATGCCCACATTAATCTCATTCTCCAGACTGCTGAATACAAGATCTACGTCCTCACCTTTAAATGAATCAATGGCTGTGCTATCAGAGCTACACCACAGCAGAAGTCCCATACTTTTCAAACATCAACTATCTACTTGATTGCTTCTTCTCTACCAAATGCTAATCTTAACAGACTTCTGTTCCAGCTATATCTCTGGGAACATTCTCTTTTCAGATCCTCCTCCTTGATTTTGCAAAGTATTGATATGTTATTAGAACTTTCTGAGTGATTCTCCTGGTTTAGGCATATTTCGAACATGCAGGTGTTCCATCTCGGCACACCTCATGCAACTACTGAAGCCTTTAGCACTTAAAATGAAGTTGTCTTCCCTTCCAAAACCGCATCTTGCATAAAGCGCAGATTTGATCAATATCTTGATAGAAGTACTGCATTGATTTTCAGCGACCTGAGCAAGTGAACCAGACACCGGCAGTGTTTCTACCCTGGCATAAAGTCACATTTCATCACTTCTAATCTGCCCTTACAAGTGTTTACTCATGACTGCCTGACTGGTGTGCTGCACAGCCGGATAGTCATTGTGGCGTTGTGGCTTCTTCCTCTCTTTCATCCCCTCATTATTTCTCCTGCAACCTCGCACCGCATCCCGGCACTCTCCACATGCCCCGAGCACCTCCATCGCTCCGTCATCCCACGCGTCCCCCCAGCTCTCTACATCTCCTTTTCAACCCCCCCAACCCCGTTCCGTCCCTCCATCCCTCCTTCCACCTCTTCATCGTGTTCATCTGCATGGAGAGCGTCTCATTCTGCCCCGGCTAATTGGCTGTAATTAGAGTCATTCAGCAGGGGTTAATCAAGGATGACTTACGCAGATTATGACTGGTGAGGGGGGGATGTTAGGGAACAGGCAGCCTATGTGCCAGGCTCACATCTCTCCACCCAACATGGCCTGAGGGCTTGGCATTGATATGTGTTTAAAGCTGCGCTGCAACATGGCACTTTTAGATATGTGCTTCTGAAAAACGCCCAGTCACCACTGAAGCTGAAAGGAACATTATTTCTAAAAGGGATTTCTGCTGTCAAAATGATATCTTATGGTGTCTCTGATTCACAGACAGTCAAGCAGCTGAAAGGCAGTAAATCATTTCATTACTAACTAAACAGTGTGGAACACCAGGGAAAAGCATTAGTAATATGTTCAGCTGACACCTGCTGGGATAACATTTTAATTACTTAAAAATGTTATGTGTCTAAACACTGCCTATAGGCTTTATTATTAAGAAACCCAATTTAAATGTTTCATGCATAGTCTCTTCAATTCACAGCTATTCAAAAGCCATTTTCTTGTACAAAGTATTTTTCTCCATGTTTTTTGTAAAAACAGCTGAGTTTTTACAAATTATGCAAAGGCATAATCTGGCCAGTGATTGTACCTTTGCATAATCACTGGTCAGATTATGCAAAGGCCAACAGATTCAATAAAGACCTAAAACAAGACAACACAAAGTAGTCTAGAAGATCTCAAGAATCAACACATCAGGTCCAGATGGAAATTAATTTAAGAACAGATTGAAATCCATTTCAAATCTATAGGACTCAGAAAACTATTATTCATGAACAGATAAAACATGGAACAGCGGCAAACAGTTTCAGAAATTGGTGGTCTATCTAAATTAATCTGAGATCTCGTTAACAACTGTTCCAACAAATCTAGAACAATATACCACAAGCCCTTTTCCCAAGCCTCACCCACTTTGGTTAAGGTCAAAGTGCATGATTCAACAAAAAACAAAACAGTGAACCTTAAGAAGTTGGCGTCACATTGTATCTGGTGTAAAAGTAACCTGGTTGCAGTAAAATTATGTTACAGGCATAATTTAATGGCTCAGAATCTGAACTGTAATTATTAGAACCATAAATTCTGATGTCCGGCCATCAGTTTGTGACTTTAAGCACAAAGGTACTTGGGTTATCCAGCCATTTTCTCCCCAATGGCTTAGAAATCTATAGGAAGATTTTGAATTGACCTAGTCAAAGTACACACTTTAATCTCATAAACGGAACATGCCTAAAACTCTCCAAATTGAAACAAATCTGCAAAGAAGAGATTTTTTTCCCAGTAACATCAAAGAGTCCTTATCATCCCAAACACTGGATGCTAAGTGTTGCTAGCATCCAGGTTTAATGTCGTTTGAAGGCTCAATATAGAAAATTAAGCCTTCAAAATGAACAGTGAATTTTTTTTTCCTGGTTTTTGTTCCAGTAACTGGAGCTACTCTGGTTCAGACTCTTTAGTCCAATCCCTTACTTCAACAAATTACAGCATTTTAGTTTTGCAAAAATGTTTTCACTGGAAAGCTGTTAAATCAAGCCCCGACACGTCTCTGGGTGGCCTTCCTTCCACTTCATAGGTGCTTAATATGCACAATAAAGTATCATACTTTTTTATAGCCTTTGTATTTAATACAAGGTTGACTGATAATTATTCAGAAAGAGCAAACTGCGGTGAAACCCCCCCTGGGACTGGAGACATTAGGACCGGGGCTCACACACTGGGATACTGGACAGAGAGTAATGACCCAACTCCTGCTGGTAATGGCTTCTCTTTCGGGGTGTGAGTTCGTGTGGTTGGTGGCTTACATGCAAGCTCCCACCAAGTCTATTTGATGCGACTAGTCCATTAGATTTTCAATGGGCTCCTACACCATAATCCTGAATACACTCAGTTTTTTTTTCCTCCTACTGATTCCTCATTGGAGCTAACCCACAGTACAGATTGCTTCTGTCACTGCTGAAGCAGACAAATTCCCCTTCATATCCTCCGCATATGGAATGAGATCGTCTCGTTATGGCCCTGTTACATTCCCCCATGGCAACATTAGCGAGTGGTTGTAAAAAAAAAAAGACTATAAGGATCCCGATCCAACTGGACTGAAGAGTCTCTGAGAAGCCAAGCAGGGGAAGTTGTAGAACAAATTAAGTGAGACCTCATGCACAGCTCTGTGACTACACCTCTTGAATACATGCATGTGCCAAATGTACACACGCCTGGAAGAAATGGAGCCACCCTTATCCACTGTAGCCAATCAATAAGCACTTGACAGCTGCTGTAATACAATATAGAAAGATCCTCCAGCCAGTTAGTTTCATTTTCCTTTGCTTAATTTAAACAGCAGTTTGACAGCTTTGGTGTAAAGATAAGGTTGATGCTTTCTGAAATGTCTCGTCTGCAAAGTGTGTCTACAAACCCTCATTAAGGAAAGTTCTAAAAATGAATACTAACAAAGATCTGAAGATCTTCAGACATGATTAGGGAACAGGCTACACTTCATAGACACTATGCTACATTTTAGATCCATTCAGATGCAGAATTTTGGTTTCATTGTGGAAAAAAAATGGCAGGATTTAACTTTGTGTGTTTGGACACTAGCATGACTAAAACCAGATCTTTACACATCATCAAAGGCCCTCATGTTCATGGTGATAGCAAAATGCTTAACTGGTTGTTTGCTTGCAACCATCAGCAATTTTGAACTTGCTTTTGCCAAAATTGGCATCTCAAACAACAAATAAACACTATATGAGATTGGAATTTTATTTCATCTACGCTCTGAATAGCTGTTACCAGTTCTGCCACAATCTGGATCTACTATGAATAATATCTGACCCTCAAATAGCCAGGATCACACAGGTTACAAGTTACGTCCGCCAACTTCATCCGTGACCTGTGTCACAGTGCCAATTATGCTAATTGGCAACTGTGACAATTAGCAATTAGCAATTAGCATAACTGTTAGAAAGGCGTGGTGACGCACTATGTAATGTGATCACATATTCTCTTTTCATTATCATTTATGGAAAAGAATACTTATGACCCGCATAACTTTAAAACTGATTTGCAACTTAATTGTGTTATTGTATGTTAGTGTTTTTAATTAAAAATGTCCTTGACTTTGGAGTTCTATGGGTGCAGTTTGAAAGGGCAGAAGCAGAAATGCTTAGTCAAAAGGCCTGACCTGATGTGACCTTACATGATATTAAGAACTTGTAAGCAGAGATAGGTAGACAGAATCCAAAAATTGTACTCAAATAAAAGTAGCACTACTTCAATATATTTTATGGTCAAATAAAACTAAAAAGTAGCCACCCAGGAAATTACTCAAGTAAGAGTAAAAAAGTATTTGGTAAAAAGTCTACTGAAGTGCTCAAATTACCAGTCATTTAATATGTAAAAATTACATAATCAGATGGACTAAAATATAAAGTTAAGTAGACAATTTTGGGGACCAAAATGGCAATAATTTATGTAAGTAACAAAAAATATTTACATCCAAAAAATGTTTCCAAATCAATTTCTTTCAATATAAAACTTATGGAACTAACCAAAACTGCAGGTATGCGTTTGTGCCTGGTGAATTTTTGGATAAAACATGTTTGTTTTTCAGTGGGTGTAGAATCCAGAAATTTTACACAAGAACACGATTCTTCATGATAAAATTACTCAAAAGTAAAAAGTACAGCGTTTTTATATTGAATTTGGATTTGTTTGCACCAAAGTAGCTTAGCGGGATTTACCCCCCAAAAATACTTAATTGTTGCTAAATTCCACATTTAGGGATCTACTATTTCTTAATCACAAGAGACATAGTGGAAAATTATTTATTGATATACATTCCACACACTGATTGAAGGAAGTGTCAGAATATATCAAGGTACACCTGTGTGTCTGAAGAAAAACACGCAGAAAGCCTGAAAATGAAAAGAATCTTTAATTGTTTTTTCACTTCTTCCTTCCTTCTGTCTTCAGAGGCAGATGAGGATCCGGTGCTAATGTTCCTCTTCCATCATCACTCCTCTCCAGCTGCAGAACGCTGATTGGAGCTGGAAACAACTCATGATTGCTCTCTCTTCTAAGGAGCAAAAAATAGAGAAGCAGAGAAGGAAAAAGAAAAAAACAGAAAGACAGAGGGAAAATCCGTGTTTAATTCATTCTGCCTATCTCTCCCTACCCATCTTCTAGTGTTTTGCGAGAAGGAAATTGGAAACGCCCGGCGAATATGTCGGGAAGACATCCCAGACTGAATCAAGGCGCCATTACTCTGACAGGGCGAAGCACAGTGGGGCTGAAAAATCTTTGGCCTGCTCTCTCTCGCTCAATGATTGTCTCATCAGCGGGAGTAATTTGGGTTTCTGGTTATCGCGTCATTTCTGATGCCGGCGAAGGGGGAGAAACGGGCCGCGACGTAATTACTTCCCTCTGCAGACAGATGAGGAATTGGGGAGTAATTAATAACTGGCTGGTATCGAAGTGGAGTAGAGGCTACCTTCCTCTTCAGAAAGAGACTTCACTTGCCGTGAGAAAGGAGTGGGAGCGCACTCCAGCAGCAAGGCTGATGGATCAGCAACAGGCTTTTTAAAAGAGGGTGAGGGAGGGAGAAATGAGACGGCAAGGTGAGAGGAGAAAAATGCAGCAGAGAAAGAGGAGTGATGGGAGAGAAGAAGAAGATGGGGATGAAGTGGATGGATGGCGAGCAGACAGATTGGCCTTAGCTCAGGAGGCTTGAAGAAAAGAAATGAGAGAAGGTATTGGTGAGCAGGTGAGGAGGAAAGAGACGCTAGACTGCAGGAGGAGATGCATTTCTCAAAAGTAGAAAGACACCGCTTTCGATAGGCTGCTAACGGGCCTTTCTCACTCAATAAGATTCACTCTCTGGGTGAATCAAGACGATTCCAAAAGGATACTGTTCTTCTTTTGTTTTTGACCGTTTTCATTTCCTCACGCTCATCTCAATGATCTCTGGCTGTTCGGCTCCCCATCTCTGGTGTGCATAGATTAGCTGGAGAAGCTCTCTGGCAACCAGACTCACACAGCTGCCAGGGATCGCTATCTTATCGTCTTCGTCTCGGCCTTGACAACACATTAGAAAGCACTTTGCTGCTAAACATCTCTGTCTCTCCCCTTATCCACATTGACCTTCCTGTACAAAAACAGCCAGTCATTTCTAATAACGAGTACTCTACTCCATGCTGCACGTCCATTTTATTTTGTGCCACTTCTTCACTCCTGTATCCCTTTTCTGTTTAATAAGATCCTGGAGGCGTCGTGTCTGGTGCAGGATTCCAGGATTTGGTACAAGACGATCGGCGCTGTCAAAATACAATCTGGAAGCTTAGGTGAAGTCAACAAGATGAGAGGTGGTGTGTTTACCTGTCTGTCTGAGACGTGACTCACAGACAAATAGAAAAACCATGCACACACACATACCAAGTGATAATTATCTACCAGGCAAGAGCACAAGCAAAAACCGATTGCTATCCTGAAGTCGGGTGTGATAAAGACAGCATAGTGGACATGCATACCCATTTAGAACATCTCAGAACACACACACACACCTACACACACAGATGGTAATCGTCCACAACAGCCATTCAAACAGAAGCTGATAAAAATCTACAGTGAGCAAACACCGATGTAAAAATGACTCTTCCTGGTGAGAACCAGTGATGAATGTGGTGTTTGGACTCCATAGCTGCGCTCCAACATTCAGAGACGATTCATCAAGGCTTTTTGGGAGCCGCTGCTGATAAAGCAGGAGGAAGAAGGAGGAACTGAACAGTAGAGACAGAAAAGGTAAATGAGTTTGAGAGCAGAAATAAAGATCACATTGTTACAGGTCTGCACCAATCAATCAAACCCTCCGTCTCAGAGAGGGTTTATTAACAATTCAGGAAGCAGACTGCCCCCATTCTGACCATTAGCTGACTGCTGATTCCAGTCTGTCTGTGTGTATTTGTCCTGGCTCTTTAATTGTGCTGCACACATTACTATGGTAGGCGAGCATTCTGCCTTCTGTTAGACAAAGTCTGATCCTTTACTTTGAATATGTGACTTCCTTTAAAGTAAAGATTTAGATGTTTTCATCATCTTGTGGTGACAAAGGCCTGGCTTTAGATTTTCTACAAACCACACACATCAAGCAACATTTATGTAGAGATTGAAGATCTGGGTGCTGGAGTTTTTGGGGATTTTGCCCCTCAGGGTGAAAAGTTTTGACGTTAGTGCACAAAATCATCTTCCATCCAGAATAAACTTTCTTATTATAAAAACAACCCTTCTGCCCACTTCACAGATACAGTAATGTTAATGTTTCAGCAGGTGTGTTCACACCAGTCAGTTCAGTCTGTTTTAACCCAACTCCAGCTCATTTGCTCCAGTTTGCTTTTCTAGCTCTGAATGCTCAATTGAGCTCTATTGCAGACCAAAACAACACCTGGTCCTCCTACAAACTTCGGTCTTCGCTCGGTCGAACTGAACTCTGGTGTGGTTCATATGTGAATGCCAAGCAGACCAGAGATTCCTCCACAAGCAGGAAGTGGACTGGTGCTGCGCAACATTCTCTATGGCCTTCTGCCTCATCTTATTGTTGAAGAGTGTTCTTTGGTACATTTGACAAAGGCAAAAGAGAAATCCTACAATCATCTGATGAAAGCTTCCCTCAGTGTCTTCTTCAGAGGGTTACATATTGTTTTAACAAATGTTGCAATTTTGGTTTAAAATCAAACCAAGCCCTCTGCTTCAAAAAATCCATCCTGCATTTACCAAGTCCTCTTCAGGGACTCTATGGTGTTGCCAGAGATCCTTGGTTCTCCTAGCTAGTTTCAGGAAACCTCTAATGGGTGGTGTACAAAACACATTGACTTAATAATCCTATATAACTGAGTTTGAGTGCACTGCAACTAATGGGGGGACTTGCTGTTCCATCGCAATGTGAACTCAGAGAAGGGATCAGAATCAATGCTTGTTGACTCTTCATTCTCCTGCGATGTTCCTGCATGCTTTTCCAGTGTTACATTCCAAGATGAACCTGGGGTGTGTTTTGTGTCTGGTTTCTCTGAAGTGACAAGTACTGTATCTGCCCAACAATGTGGATCAAACCATCAGATCGAGCATTTGATCTCTTTTAAGACGCTTAAGTTGACTGGTGAAATTGCTGTTTTAGACCAAGCGCCAGCTTTCTTTCTGGCCTGCTGGTTGTGCATCCATGCAGCCAGTGTTTGTGTGCTGCCAAATCTCCTGTGGGTACCGATGATGACGCCAGCTGGGGTTGCTACGCGATCGGCAGCGATGCAGCTGCAGACTGCGAAAGTAAGCAGGGGCCGTGCCGAGAACACGCACCCGACACGGTGAGCATCTGTAAGAAGAGGGTCTGTCTGTGTTTGTTTCCCTGCCTCCCCTCCTTGTTTCCTCTGCCTGTTGACAACACCTGTGGAAGGCAGCTGGCAGCTTGGCAGGGTGCTTTTTAACGTCGCCTGTTGGAGGCAAAGGGAAGGCTGCGTGATCCCGCCGAGGCCTTTGGGGGATGTTTCGCTCCATGACAACAGTCAGAGGCTCCTGATGCAACTACCCACATGGGATATGGAGGCGGGGCGGTGGAGGAGCTGGGGGAAGGTGTTTGTGCTCGTGTTTGTCTAGTTTGCTGTGGCTGTTCAAAAAGAAGACAACGTGTGTAGAAATATGGGAGAAATTAGATAGAAAATAAAGAATTCTTAAAAAGATAAGAAGAACAAAGCATTTAAAAAAGTTAAGACAAAATGGGAATTACAGGGTTTAGCTTCAGAGAGTTGCTTTATGCTCAAGAGCTATGGAAAAGTTTTGTTTGATTTAGAATTTCTTCTTGAAGAATTTTCACTCACCTTCTTTGCTTTATCTTCCATGAATTAGAGCTATAAGGTTAGGGCAATAGAGAGCAAAAATTTCCTCTTTACACATCTCCTTTGAAAGGGAAACTAATCTCTTTGTGATGGTAGAGACAGACACTTTCAGTTCAAAAATAGCGAGAGACTAAAAACCAGAAGAGCTAATTACAGGTAAGCAGATGCAGCTGTGGAAGGGAGCAGGTAGAGACAAATGAGGAAATGACTAACAGCTGGAATGGGGACCAGAATGGAAGCTGAGGAGAAGTGAAAAACAAACAGAAAAAAAAAAAAAACAATGAAAGGGGGCAGAGGGATACCTGAACATTAACAGGGATAAATATTAATATTAATCTAGTGGAGCAAATCCAAAACACAAAGAATGAGATTACTGAACTAACACAAGGAATAAACTAAAATGACATGACGTAAGAAAACAAACAATAAAAAATGATCAAAAAGAGAAAATAAACAAAAAATCTAAGCACCAAAGGATTATATTATGTTCACTCTCACTTCAGTAGTCAGGAGCATAATAAATTGCATATCTGATGTTTGAAAAGTGCAATTTAATTGCGTAATTTGAGACATTTTAAGTGGGAATGAATGTAGAGGAATTCAATTCTTTTTTAAATAAAAAGATTATTTTGTCAGTATATCTATGAAAAAGCACTGATTTTATATATGGGTATTAGAATAAAGGGGTAAACCTGTTATAAATTCACTACACCTTTTCTGTTCCATTGTTAAACATTGTTTGACGTCCACTTCACTATTATTCACAAGTGTCAGCATGTCATATAAAATCTTAACATATTTCACCAAATTGTTTTCCAACATGACAAAAGTGGAGCGGAAAACTTTTGCAAGGCCCCTTTAAATCATGTAGAAACAACATGGCCATCATAAATACAAATAACCCATCCCGTCTTACCACATCACTCACATTTTTGTGAGTCAGCGCAAAGCTTCAATGTCTAAATCAAAAGCTTGGGCTTGTTTTCGTGTTTCATATGCAGCTTGAGGAAAAGGCCAGGATAATGTAGGCACCAGAGGAGACTTGTGATGGTATTAGGACTGGTGCGCTGGGTCAGGCTGAAGCCCCCCAGCCTCACACTTATAACTTGCACAGATATGCATGTCATAGCAAATATCTCTACAAGCAGATAATTAAAGTTATACTTAGAAAACTCCAGGAACAATCATTGTTACTCTTATCTCACCATCTTGCTGAGAGATTGCTCACTCCCCTCTCTCATTCCTGACACAACAAATCCCCGCCGGTCGGAAATCCAATCCCGTCTCCATGTGAGCGGGGAGGGACCGTGACGGATGGCTTGTAAGCGCCCCACCATGTTTCATCGAGCCTTCTTCTCTCTTTGTCAGGCCCGAAGACGGAAGACTTCCATGCAGCGCCTCACCTTAGGGACGCTGCGATCTTCAATAATTCAGTGGCTGTTGCTCCAGTCCTGTGGAGAGTGCTCATCAGTGACCGATGAACATCCCTCTTGGGTTCCGGCCAGGAAAGCATGTTTTTCACCCTCCTGCAGACTAAAATGGATCGTAAATTTAATTTCTAATTAATATTTTAGCCAGTAAGTTGATATTTCTTTTTTTTTTTGTTCGACCTTAAAGCTACATATCATGTGCACTCTAACATCTCTGTCATCTTGTTCTTTTTGTCACTTTTGGCTATGTTCGGTGCGCTTTAAATTCTGTCACAGAAAAATGTTCCCTTTCTTCTGGCAGCAACAAACCATCTCTACTTCAAATTCAACAATAAATACAAATTATTTAGATGTCTCAACTCCTTGACGAGGTCCAGAAAAAGAGCCTAAATAGACACCCTTGATAAGAAGGAAATTAAGATGTTCAGGAACCAATCAGGAAGCCACAGAGATTTAAGAACTGAAAACTGCTGGGACATCCTAGTTATTGTCCACGGCGAGGTAAGCTGTGGACAAAGTGGATCAATATTTGTGGGAAAACCTCCAGGCCAGGGGAAGGTAAGCATCAAGGCAGCCTGGTAGAGACCAGACAACTAAAGTTGACCAGTTGGGCCTCACTAGTGTGTTTGATGTCCTCCGGGGGTTTTCAAACAGAGTTGGACGTTAATGTGCAGATAAAACCATTAACTGGGGTCCACCCTGGAAAAATAAAATCAGTGTTTTGTTTGGCTCACTTCCTTCTGATTCAACCTTTCAATTCTACTTGATTGACATGGTGGTCAGGCAGATTTTTGAACCAGAATGTTCACTTTACATAAAACTTTTGTTCTAAAGCAAATGGGAATTAAGGGTTGGGTTATATATACGCATATGAATGTATGTGGGTTGTATTTTACTACTCTGTTGGGTGATGTTTAATTTTTAGGTTAATTCTCAGAGGTAATTTCTGTCTCTGCTATGGCCTTCTGGGAATAAAGGTCTCTTACTCGAAAAGTTGTAATGCTATTTCCTTAACAAGGCCAGCATCCAGGAAGACATTCATAGGTGAAATGTCAGCTTGCCTGCATCATGCCTCATGGGTAAAAAAAGAGGGAGGGGTGGAGCAAAAGGAGAGCATTGCTAGTGCGGTTTTATTTGATGTGCATCGCTTCTCACTTGAAACTCAAAAGGAAGAGGAAAAAAGTTGGATTACGATCATAAATGCAGTTTGAATGACGCACTGCCGAGTCTGAGCAGCTGAACCGTCAAAAAGCAGCTCTGTTTTGTCCATAACCGGCTGAATAAAAGGGTTGCAACCCATGTAAAGCATTTGAAGCGAACAATGTGCCAACAACTGCACATTCATGATAACCACTGCTTTGTTCTGGCTCAGCTGCCGATCTCCCTCTGTAGATAGGAGACGCATAAAGCATACACAACACATCCACACATGTGCCAGGGCCTCTGTTCTCCTCGGTTCGGCAGTGTTTTCTCAGCAGAGAGCCGGAGAAACAGCGTGGTCTAAATAGCTCATTAACATTTGATGACTGGCTCCTTCGGCTGTAGATCTTGAAAGCAAATGGGAGCCAGGCTCCTTATGGCTATTGATTCAGCAACACCCCTCCTCCTGAATATCCCGAGAAGGCCTGCTAGGGACACCAAATAATTCATGCCAACATCCCAGTGTTTGTTAATGACTGAGTGGTATAATGAGTGTCCCACACCATTTTAAAACCACATTTGTAACAACATCTTTAGCGGCTGTGAAACAACATTGATACAGTTGAGCTGGGAGTAAAAACACCCAAAAGGGAATTTAGTAAGCAATAATGTGAACATTACAATTGTTTATTGCTGTAGGTCCCAATAATTGAAAAATTGCGACGTCCGTTCAAAAATTACACAGATTTTGATCAGCCTATAAACTTGAATTGTTTACTTTTTTGACTTTCTGGATACAGATTCAGCAGAATATCCAGGAGTAGATATGTGTGAAACGTATTGATAGTCATAAAACTAATATTTTGTTGTGTTGTTGACTCACGGATAAATTTGAAGAGCCAGATGTGGGTTGAGATGTGAAGCTGTACTATGAGCTTTGGACACGGAGTCTAAGTCTAATAAGTCTGTCATGTGTTCACCTACTGCATCTGATTAAGGGGTTCCACAAGCACTTTACCTGCCAGCATCTTGCACCCAGTAGTTTCAGAGGCATCTTTGCCCAGCAAGAGAAATCCAATCAGTGGTTAGAGAGGGCTGGATCCTGAAGGTACATATACCTTTGGTCTATCCCAGGTGGGCATGAAGGAGGGCACACCCTGGCAGGTCTCTGCTGCCAGCCCATCACAGGACAACACCTAGACACATGAGACAAGCAATCCCACACACACAGAGTACATATTTCTGTTTCACAAAGACTGTGAAACAGAAATATATACTTAAACCCTAACCCTAACCCTGAATCTAACCAATGCCACCACATGCATAACTCTAGACATAACCTAAACCTGAAATCAGCAGTTCTTATGGAAGAAATGGGAGAGCCCATTAAAAGAAGTAGGTCCTCACAATGTAGTATTTGTTGGTAAAATGGGCCCTACAAAATAATAAATGCTAGACACACATACACACCTAGGCAGAACTTAGAGAGACCAAGAAACCTTCCATGCCTCTGCTTTCTTTTGGACTGTAGGAGAAATCTGAATTTCCCTGAGAGTCATGCAGGATCAAGGAATACGTTTCAGTTTAGGATCTTCTTCTGAAATGAAACTGTGCTAACAACTCTACACTGACATTTTGTTATTCAAGATAATAGTTAAAGGTTTGCAGTGGGGTAGATGGACCGTTCAGCCCTCTGACCTCCACCAGCAGGCAAAGTGGGTGAAGTGTTTTGCCCAAGGACACAATGGCAAGGTGACTGAGACAGATGGAGTGAGTTTTCGTTTACAGGATGAACCCCAAGCTAAACTAAAATACAATCATTACTGTTACAAGGTGACTTCAAAGGACAATTGGTCGAGCTGGATTTGATTTCCAGATTACAGAGTAAAATGGGCTGGATGGAAATGAATGCTGGTTTCTGAACAAATCATCACATGAAACATGACAAAATAGGGGTGTGAATACCTTTACGGGGCATCTATTTGTGCCTGCGGTAAATGTTGGACCACCCACTTCTCGATGTTTATTTAATCAGAGTGCTACATGTTAATGCAGCCTTCAATACAAGTCAGATATGGCCCAGAAACAATCATGCGATACATTGCCCTCGTCCGCCGGGCTTCACGAGCTTCTGTTACACACCAATCTATAAGTACTTAGCTGCTAAGGAAATTAGCCGCTCCAGCGGCTGGAGAATGGAGAAATCATTGTGAGGCCTGATATGCTTCTGTGCGCCTCTGTAATTGTATTTCTAACAAATGTGCTCTCAAAGTAGAGAGGCTCCAGACCTCTTTCCTCCTTCACCAGCATCTCCGCCCGTTAACATGCACGCACAAGCTAGCTGGGCAGCAGGACCACGCCGGTGCACCGCAGCCAACCTCATTACGGTGTGATTATGCGAAATCAGCAGAGGGGAGCAAGAGAATCAAAGCTCACTGCTGGAGATGAGTGAGTTGTACTGTAAGTGTCCCAGCCCTGAAAGATTGGTTGGGGGGAAAGATTAAAGGAACCTGCTCCCACGGATCAAATTCTCCCGGTTTGGTTCCCCTTTTTGGGTGTCAGAGTGAGTTTGAGTGATGAGGCTGATGTTGAGGTCTTGAGAGATGCAACTTTGGGTGAGCTCAGAAAATGAAGTAGATCCTCACAGTGATGGGCATAAAGAATTCTGGGACCCTTGCAGACATGAGTGGGTTGAGACACAGTCATTAATATATTCAAGGACAGCTGCAGCGGAGGAGTGGGAGTAAAATCAATGCCGAGGCTTTACCTCGACTCATCCTTACTTTTTTGTTCATTCTGAAAAGAAGATTCTGCAGACCTCGATGGGGAGGGAAATTATTTAACGAAAATGGCAGATTCTCACCTAAACAAGAGCGCAGAAAAGCACATTAGAGCCGCGGCAGATAACAAGGCCCACACTGAGGACGGCCTGAAGGACAGAGAGGCGGAAATGAAAGCGAGTAAGAAGCTGGTCGCGCTTGGCTTGGTTTGCATGTCGCCGCCCTATCTCTCCACAGCACTGACCTCTCCACGCCTTATCAGTGCTTCGCCCCTTCCCCCGGCGCTGTGCGGAACGTGATGCAGGGCGACATGAAGCCAGACGTAGGTTGAGACGTGAAGCGGCACTATCAGCTTCGGACACGGAGACTGCTGGCCTGCAGACATCCACCGGCTCAAGGTGTGATTTAGAAGTGTGGGGAGCTATTTACCTCCAGGGTGTGTGAACATATGTTCATATGGAACACACACTGAACCACACTTCAGTATACCGTTATGAGGTTGGCTTTAATTGAACCTATATTGCAGTTAAAGGGCTCATTTATATGGATTTCTTTAGCCTACAGCGACTGGCTGGAACCATGCAAACACACACACACTCACACACAAGGGCAACAATACTTATTGAAGCTGATGGGAGCCTTATCCCCTAAATCCGAATTTACATATATCACTTCCGTTTGGTGTTTTATGAAAAGCATTAGCCCCCTCACCTCTCATGCAAATAAGATTCAGCGCTGAGCTCAGTGACTGGCGGTGGCCAACAGGACTGAAAGGCTGAGATCTGCAGGAAATAAGAATGTGGGATTTTTAAGTAGCTTACAAGCTCCTGATTGTTTTTCTGATTTAATCTTATTTTTTGTTTTTAAACCATAATGGACATGTTTGGAAAACTAAAGCCTTGATTCTCATTTGCTAACATTCTACTCTCGGTTTTAAAGTTGCCAATGAAAGCAAAGTAGTTGTAACACAGTGGGGATCATTGGTGGGACAGCTATTAATATAAAAAAAAAACAACAACAAAAAAAAAAGCATTTGAAAATAAACCAAACTAAAGCATTTGTACTTTTGCAACCATATAACCTATAACACACTCAGCCATGAAGAATGCAGTGAATCTTGAGTTTCCATGGCAGTTTGTGGGATCAGTTGGAAGAACTCTCTGAAGGTTAGAAAAATCTGAGGTCCCATGAAGGGCAGTGGTGGATATAAACAAGATCTTAAGTTAGCCTTTGCGATCATCGGGCATCACTGTGTCCACAACAGCCGACTGAGAGTGAGCGCCTCTCATTTCAAACAGCTGCAAAGAGTTTCATAGCTGATGTCAGTGTCCATGGTTGGTTGGCTGATTGATTGGCTGATTGGTTAGTTGGCTGGTTGGTTGGCTGACTGGTAGGTTAGTTGGCTGGTTGGTTGGCTGACTGGTTGGTTGGTTGGCTGATTGGATCTAGCCATCAATTTGTGACCTTTGGCTCAAGCACAGTTGAGTTTTGCGACAGAGCAATGATCCAAAGCATGCCTGTGAATGGCTCAAAGGTTATAGGAGTGGTCAAGTCAAAGTCCAGTCATAAATCAAAGTAAGAAGTAAGGACCTTAACTTGACCTTTCCTATATAAATGACTCCAGTGTAGCTGAATGAAGCCATTCTGGAAGGAAGAGTAGCAGTTGATGCCCACATGGATGACACAACCAGCTATTGGTTTAAGGGGAGAAGTTCTTTTTGTTTGGTTTGTATTTTATCTCCAAACACATAAAATCATCAAATGGAACTTTGTAATGATTAAAGCTATGTTTTGAATAAATATCCACCCAATCTCAACAAGAAGGTTATAGAAACAATCAGACTCCTGATGCAGACAGTGAGATTCCTCTGTGATGCAGAGAAACAGCCAGAAACGGGTCAAAGCCCGACTGGTTGGCTTGGTCTGTAAATGACAAACCCCCACAGAGGCTGACAGCAGCTCGCAGCAGTTCATCACCTCATGTCCGCCCACAGCGTGATGCCTCACACTTGTGATGTCATGAGACGTTGGAGAGGAAAGGCAGAAGGCTAGGATTTCTTTCACACGGATGTTCCTGCTGATCTTGAGCACATCTGAAGAAATAAAAGAGCCACTGTAGGGGACAGAAACTGAAAGAAACTTTGCTGAAATAGTACATCTTTGGGATTTGCTACGGTCGTGTGAAACTTTCCTTAGCATCATGTCATTCTGAGCTTGAATTATTTATTTTGTTTTGTATGTTTGAAAAGTGAAATTGACCCCACTAGTAGACTATAAATCTCTGAGGTTTAAATTAGGAAAATATCCTTCAAAATGCTGAGTAATGATGTTCCAGTCGACTGATGAGAAAACACCTCTTTGTAATTTTAAAGTTTTTAGGCTTTTTAAAGTTCTATATGCCCAAATAAGTGAAAATCTTTACTAAACACTGGACTTTGATAACTTTGTTTTTTTTTTTCTGTAATGCATTTTCTTTGAATGCTGTTGGTGCTATTCTGAGTATCACATTATTGCTTTGACTACACTGTTATTGGTCACAAAAAATAATACATTTTAATTGTTACTTTTAATCTCTTTCCCTCTGTCAATATAGATTAAATATAGTGGCAATTGAATATTATATTTTGCAGGACAGTGGACTGAAGTATGGATCTTATTTGTATTTATAGTTTAGTATTCATAAGTTTTCTGTGGAGTGTGACTCCCAGTTATTTCTTGAATATTCACCTATCTTTTTCATGGAGTATATCCAAAATATTACCCAAACCCTAAAATACAGCTTGGAAAGGTGAAAAACTTAAACACTAGAATTGATTGGCCGCTTTGCTGAAGTTTGCAAAGCGGCCAATCCAGGAACACCAAGTTATTTTCCTTGGTGCTGATTGGCTGAACCCTGAGGAGCTGATGTAGATCTTACCTTCTGCTAAAACAGTTTACGCTGTAGGTATACATGGGTATTTAGGTGCATTTAGTGCTTAAACTATTAAAATAGACAGTTTTAAGAGTTTTTAAATAGGGTCTTAAGTATTTGTGGATTTTTACTAACAGTTGTGGTCCCTAACTGTTGGGGTTCTGGGGTTGTTCTTCCATTCTTTGTCCACTGGAGGGGGATGCGAGGCGTTTCTCATGGAGGGTGTGTCTATGCTGATGCTGCACGCACCTGCAGCATATTCCTCATCAGTGGAGGGGTATATCAGCAGGGAGCTGTCGGTACTTTGACGCCAGATTGTTGATCAGTAATGGTACTTCCGGCCTCTGTGAGTTCTCTTGTGTAGAATTATTGAGAATCCTCAGTGATTGTCTTTTCTCTTGAGCATTTCTTCAGATTTCCCCTGTGCTGAAGGAGACGTTCTCCTGGAGATCTCAAGCTACCAGTCCACCGGTTCTTCAGGTCGCTCTCCACGCCGTAGAGGGCTCCATTGGTGCCAGGGCACCGTTTTCCAAAGTCATCAGATCCGATTCTTCCAAGTCCTCCAGCCGGCACCTGCACCTGTCCCAGCCCCTCCGAAAACCCGACCTACCTGTCCGCCCTCCTCCGCCACCAACTCAGTCCGCTGATCCTGGTGCCTCTTATTCCCCCCTTCAAGATCTGAATCCACTCCAAGTAAGATCAAACATCTCCATTAAATACTTCAAATTCCCACTGAACTTGAACTCACCATTGTTTTGTTTGTCCGCACACCAGGATCCCTGAGACCCAGCCAGGCAGTTCTCCGCTCCTGAACCTATTTTCAATGTCTGTTCTTTTTTTTTTTTCAATAAATCTAAGAAACCCTTTTTTCTGCACCTCAGAGTGTTTTCTGCATGTGGGTTCGAAAATTCCATGAAATCATGACACTAACCCCCACCAAACCGATGGTCCACCACAAAAACAATCAAAACTTTGGCAAACTCCACTGTTCTAACAGGTCTTCACCCAACAAACACAAGCAGTCCCACCTGCTCTACTGACCTGCTTTCCTCACTCACCAGATGATGTTCCCCCGCCTCATTCTCTCTTCTTCTTCTCCAAAGACACATGCACGCACACGTACACACAGATGATGGGGTGAAGTGCAGAAAGGTCTTGTGGGTGCTCATCACGCACACTTGACAGAAGCAGCGCTCTTGGCAAAGGAGGAGCTACAAGATATATGAAGATGGCCACTTGGAGCCCACCACACATAATCGCGCACACACACACACACACACACACACACTCTGCTCATCAGCCCCCTGCCCTACAACCAGCTCTCGAGATTCTCGTGGTGACATATATGGAACGCATGCAGACTGAAGCCTGTTAAATATTCATGTGTCGTCTGCATGCCTGTAAATGCATGGCAGACTGTGTGTGTGTGTGTGTGAGATCATACCTTTGAAGACGAGCGGCAGTTTGGCTTGTGTTGGCTGCATGTCGGTACATGATTGTGAACCTACTGTTCAGCAAAGAGGATCTATTGTAGCTGTCAAACCGCCCCAACACTTCTTAACTCCACAGCAGGTGTTATGTGACAATATAGTGATGAAGTGCTGGGTCAACTGGAGGTAACTTGCATTCTCATGAAATTCATTCTTATTGAAATTCTTTGTAACTGTGCATTGGGATGACATATTTTTTGCCCCCCTCTTTTATATCTAATAAGAGCCAGGTGGCAACGTCGTCTGGTTGCAAAAGAAGCTCATGAGCCTTAGACTCCTCAATCAGAAGAACATATCAGCTTGTCGATGTCAATACACAGTTATCCTTGTAGGATCAAGTACATCTTCAGGGGACATTGGGAAAGAGGTGGGGTAACCCTGGACAGGTCACCAGTCCTTCACAGGGCCACAACAACAATGCACAAACAATCATACCTAATGGCAGCCATTAGGTTGGGAACCTGATTGTTCTCCTGGACATTGGGAAGAAGCTGGAGCACCTGGAAAGAACCCACACATGCAAACTCCATGCAGACCTCCCCCTCCGCCCCCCATCTGTGATTCAAACCAAGGATCTTGATACAACCTAAAACTTAATAATGCTTGAGTATATATACAAAGAAGATAAATCCAGGACATGGTTTAAATACAACACTTTTCTTCAAAAGACAATCTGCAGCTTTGCAATAAGCTAACTGCTTTTCTCAGTCAGTCTCTTAGGACACCTGACATAGCAGCTTTTAGCATCATCCAGTCCTGATTCTTGCAGCGACCTGCCACTTCCCCACAAATAACCCTGCGACACTTTATCAGTGCTCTGCTGTGACTGCAACCGAATACAGCAAAACACATGTCTGCTTTCGATAAGAACGACTTGTACTGTTCGTCGAATCACCTTTGGGTCGGAACAAGTCATGTATAAGACAGCGTTTTAATGAAAGCCCTCACCTCCGGGTCTATCTCAGTGCTGTAATGTACGGCTGAGAGTCTCGGCCTATTTGCCGTTATAACACTTGAATCTAATCAGAGGATAGGCCACTTTTGGAGTGTTTGGAGAAACCACTCGTGCCCACAGGCAATCAACACCTCATCAGAGGCCCCCCTCTCGTGTGGAGAGAACGGGGCACGAGGCCCAGAAGTGAAGAGTACCAATTTTTTACTTCTTTTTTCCAGCACCCTTTGTTGAGTTGGTCCTCTCTTTATCTTTTGTGCATTTCTTAGCTTTCCTTCAGAATTCAAGCGATAAAAGATCTGCTTGAATCTGCAAACACAGAAGGTGGCATTGGATTGTTTCACCAGATTTTATCGTTCGCTAATGTCATACATCTGCACTTTACAGTGGTTTTGTGGTTTGTGTGTGAATACAACAAAATTCACTCTCAAGCATTGAAAACAGGATAATGACATAGGTTTTAATAGCAGCTGCATCTAAATGGAGGTTAAAAGGTGTATGACGGACGTGCAAATTGTTTTTGTGTGAACAAAGCTCCATATTTACCATGACAGGGGGAAAAAATGAATGAAAACCATGTTTTTTCTGCAGATGTGACTCGTAGTTGTGGGATTACCACTTACTGGGGGATCCGTCGAGATGAACACTGTACAGTGGGGGCAGAGACTGAGACTCAGTCATCTGTTGTCGCCCTGTAGATGTGCATTATCTCCAATCCGGCACATTGATCTTCTCCTGGGATGCAGCAGGGGGAATGTTTGATGTTTGCAGTTTTCCACCCGTTTCCCAGTGATTCCCGTCAGGTGAGACACCGACACAAAGAAAGGAGAGATTTGGGTGAAGAGGAGACGAAACACACAGAGACAGAAACACACTAATGATGTTGTCAGAACCTTTGAACACACTCCCGGTTGTGTCTGTGAGTGCACACGTGTGGACTAACACGTCATTGTAGCAGACAGGCACTCCGTCAATGTCATGTGGCAAATTCTGAAGGAAAGGCAGCTTCCTGCAGTTGCATGAAATCCAAAAAGCCTTTTTGTGTCTGTCAGTCTGGGAGTCTTTTATATTGACGGCACACAGAACCAACAGTGTCAAGACATCAGGTTCCTTTTGATCTTCCTGACTGTAAAGACAGGACAAACAAAACAGCCATGTTCTGCTCCATCGCTGCCTCATGTCATCCAAAAGGAGAACATGGAGGACAGTGGAGACTTTCGAGGTTTGAGTATATGGATCTAAAGATGATGTCAGAGGTCATTATCCTGTAATTTTCCATGTTATACGGTCAAAGAGAAAAGAAATGTTCCACTGACATCAAAGAGTTAGATGTGTGTTAATGCAATGCCAGGATGGAAAGACCTTAGACAAGCGACTGTTGATGCCCATCAATCTGGGAAAGGGTTCAAGGTCATTTTCAAACAATTTAGTTTTCTCAGAGCAACTACAAAAATCTCCATTATGAATTCAGTTCTGCTAAGTTAGTATGTTAAATGCTTAAGATGAAAGCAGGACAAACAGAATGAAGATGAACAAGAATTATTTTTGGAAAAGACTCTCCTCTCATTACAACATAAATTTACAAAGTTGCATCTGAATGAACTTTGATTTTGAATGATTTTGAATAGAGAAACCAACCGAGGAATGCAGTTTGCTGTCTGGCGCAGAACCGGTTAAAACTGCGCCAGTGGAGACGTACTTTATTGTGCCAGGAGTCCCTGTTGGTTAAAAAAGAAGAACCTAAACTTTCTTGAACTTTATTGTCTTTGCAGGATGATCCCTGAAGGAGACAATGAGCATGTGGTCGCTCGCATCATCTCTGAACACAAGTGCGGTAAAAAAAAAAAAAAAAAATTAATAAAAACAACGTTGTCCACAAAACTGTCAACTCTATTGTGTGGGCAACAGAAACAACATGTCTAAATGTAAATGTAAAAAGAGAAAACTCAGTGAGTGGCAGCTGCTGAAACAAGCTGTCAACTCGCATGGGACCAAAAGTAAACTTAGTTTTTTAGCTCTGCAAATGCCACTTTCTTCTCCCACTACAGGGTATGCACATTCATCCACCTTATTTAAAATTCAAACACAAATCAAAGAGTTTTTGTTCACTTTAAGCATTTTCTTTAAGTTTGCATTCATACTTCTCTAACCACTTTAAATCTTCAAACTCTCCCAAGCTGCAGCTAAGCTCATTTTGTTCCAAACATATTATTTCCATACCCGATCTTTGGATCAGTAAACATTCTGCTTTCATTGATCTCCCCATAGGGAATTACTTCACCAGCTCTTTTGCCGCCACAATCTGCTGGTCCTCCCACTGCTGCTGCTTATTACAGGTTATATCACTGCTGAAGGTCTCTGACCTTCTCTCCAACTAATTCCATCTTTTTGCAGCTAACCGCTCTCTGTGGGAGGATGTTTGTATTTACAGCGCTTCTATTTTTGGGTAGGTGTTAAGTCCATGCATTTTAATTTCAAAGACAACTCTTTTAGATACAATGTACTTCATAAATTAAACTAACAGATATTAGATGATACAAGCCATGACTAACTAGAAACTGAATATTCATTGACCCAGCTGTTGGAGACGAGCCTTCAGTCATCGCTGACAATTAACGGTACAAATCTGTACCTTTATTAACAGCTGAAGGCAAATATTGAGGCAATAAAAGGCAGGTGTTAATTACACAGTCTGAAGGTTCTTTGGATTAGTGCCTCACGATAAAAAGAACAAGCTAGCTACTCAGTATTTCAGTGTTTCCTTGAGTCCGTGGATGACAAAAGTTTAGCAGAAATGAAGCGGACTCCTGGTTGGGTGAAGGCCTGCTAGAGTGGTGAACTTTGTCAAAGTTCTGGTTGTTTTTACAGAGGACCATTGGTATTCATGAGCAATTGCAAGCATCTGAGCATAGCTAAAACCCAAAAATACTCAAAACCTCCTCTAAAGAAACTGATATCTGTCTTTTTAAACACTTTAAACACCAACTATACCTTAATATACATTAAAACTAGAGGTAGCTCTGTCATTTCAGGGAAATCTTGGAGAGGAGTTGAGGGTTGAGGTATTCCAACTCAATGACCTCAAACAAGATTAAGGCTGCTGATCGATGGACAAGTTTTTTTTTTTTTTCCATATTACTGATAATATATTTAAAGCAATTCCACTCAAATCTTCCGTTTCATGCCTTGTTGTGTGTTTGCTAGTTGCCTGCAGGTTGCTGCATTCAAACAGATCACAGATCAAACGGGAAAAACAACTAGCAGGTGGTAATTCTCAACGTACAAGTCAGATTCAGATTACTGGAGTTGTTCTTTTTGCCAAATACCCTAAACATGTTTATGTTACCCCCAGAAAATACTAACATGGCAATACAAATCTGCCATGTTGCATCTCTGTGGATGAGTTGTCTGACACTCCTTAGTTCTACATCACCTCTCCCCCCCTGTGCATCCAACGTGGAGAGACACATCCTCTGTTCCTTAATGATGTCTGTGTGGGAGGGGCTTTTTTTCCCTTTACAGCATCAAAGACAAGACACTCAAAGGCGAGTATAAGAAATGACTTAATCATTGCAACAGCGTACAATCGCTCTGTCTCTCACCAACACCCACTCTCCTCCGCTCTCCTTCTCGTGTAACTTCGCTCGAGGCGGCCGTTTGGCACCTTCGCTCTTCCTCCAGAACATCGTTGTGCTAATCAACGAAGCCCAACACACACATGGGGAGCGCTGAGGTCATAAATAAGGCACCAGGCTCACAGCCAGAGTGTCAGCCATGTTCTCCTTTCTCTCTATCGCCCTCTTTCCTCCAGGAGAAGAAGGGAAAAAAAACTCTCCCTCTGAGGCCTGGGTGAGCTTTTTTTTTTTGGAAAGAGCGCCCTTCTTTTTGATGTTTGACAACCAAAAGAAGAGAGGGGTTACAGCGGAGCTGCACCTTTCATCCAGCGGATGCCGTCCTAAAGGGAGAAGCAGGGATGAGCGTGCCTGTGTGCATATTCTCTGTTTGTGGACGTGCAGACCAAGGCCGCCTAATGAAATTACGCAGCGGGGCGGTAAAAGATTAGATTTACGCTTCTGAAGAAAATCACCAACAGGTATAATCGGAAGACAATGAAACCTTGAAAACAGCGCAGCAGAAATGTAGTTTGTATTCAAAACATCAAAATCAAAGACAATGTGCTTCCTTCATATCCTCCAAGACAAACTAAAGGTTCTGTTGAAAAAAACAAATGTAATGTGCATGTAGGAAATAGAAAGAAACCCTGCAGAATTGTAGCAGAATGTTGTCACTTAAGCCATATTTAATTGAAATTATGAAAAAATATGGCAGCCTGTGCACGACATATCACACTCTGAGACAGATGTGTGCACTGTTAAACCTCAAGCCAATGTTAAGCTGCATGCTGTAGGTGTGAATATGCACAGGTCACTTGCAGGAAGCGGAGGGAAGAAAGTGAAGTCCCATGTGTCCTTGTCCCTGCATGGAGGCTCTTGTCAGTGAGCAGCACTGGGCCTCTGATCTCCCTCCCTCGCTGGCACACCAACATAAAGCCCCCTCAGGCTTCTTTCTCGCCCACCTAAGGTTTCAAGGTTGTGCCTCTGTCGTCATAGTCTGCCAGTGTTTTCTTTTCTTCCTTTTCGTCGGCTGTGCTGTGAACAGAGCGCTCGCCTCCCCCTCAGTAGCGCCACTGTAAAGCGCATCATTCAGTCACCGTTAATGGCATCTTCGACTACATTCAGCCGTGCGACACCACCTCCAACAAGTGGAGGTGCTTATTGACTACATCTAGGCATTCTCTTTGAATTTTTTAAGTAAGCTGCAAACTCCTATGGTGATCTATGCCAATAATACAGCATAATATTGCATGTTTGTATAGTTCTTCTCAATTTATTAGATGACTACACTAGATACTAGTAGAAAATAAACTGCAATGTAAGTAACTATACTGTCTGTTAATCTGCAGATGGATATAAATGAAATGTAACTTCAGAACCTTCAGGTACTCCGGATGACTTTTTACACATTTTTACATAAGTTAAATGTCTGTGTACATATATCAGTTTGATTAATCATAAATTCATACACTGAATCTGTTAGAAGCTCATGTTGATTTTTACTTGATCTTTGGATGAGGTGGTCTTATTGAAATAAATGATCAATGCAATATATAAAATACATCTCTGTTCTCTATAAAATTGGTGACAGACTGATGAATTGGCTAATAAGAGAAAGATTGATTACAGTATTATTTGAACTAACATTAATAACATGACAAGTACTGTCACGTTGACGTGGCTTCGTGCGTACGCTGCTGCAGCTCACCACAGTAATGACTATCAGTAACTTGCAATTTTGGTAATCAGGTAATCAGGTAATCGTTTCTTCCTTTTTCTCCTTTATACAGATGATTTTACAATAAACTTTAAGTGATGGCAATCCTTTTTATGTCCAAAATGTAATTTGTCATAAAATGTCACGATTTGCTCTCAGTGAGTCAGCGAGCAGCTCCTCTCCTCGTAAAGCCATTTTTACAACATCATTCAACACTCGGCAAGAAATTATTTGCTCTGAAAGAAATCGGACACATCAAAGAATGAGCCCGTAAATCACAAAATAACTCTCAAGCACCTCGAAGATCACAGACGCAGAAGATTTATTGCTATATAAAAGCATCTCTGGACTGAATTGTCTTTTAAGTTCCTCTTAAAGCGTCTCCGCGACTCGTCTCTTAATGCCGTGGAAACGGACAGGGTCACTGCGCTGAATGAATTCAAACAGATTTTAGGCGTTTTACAAGGTCAGCAGCACAGGAAGACTCACACACACACAAATTTGTGCCCATAAATCGAAGCACGTCGGCCTTGGTGCAGTAAAATCAGCAGTCTCTCCCCGTGTCTCTTTATCATTCCGTACAGAGTTGTCGCACACCTCAATACATTTGTCCTCCTGCCAGTTCTTCTTGGCTTTTGAATTTATTAAGCCAGCTTAAACCTTGGAAAAACTGTGCTCAGTCACATACACACACGCGCGCACACACACACACACACACGCACACGCACACAAAGAGACTACTTTTCAGTATTTTTTCAAACTTTTCCTAAATTTCAATTTTTATGGCATTGCAACTTTTTCCATAGTGACAGCCATGCATTTTTGACAGCACTGATTTGGAGGAGTAACTCAAAAGCCTGGAGGTTTAACAACATCCTTAACCTGAGTCGGATGGTGAGAAACAGCCAGGCCGATGCCCAGATTCCTGCAGTATAATTTCATTTAATCCAGCTCCTGCTGACCAGTAGCCACAGAAATTGGCCAGCGTCGGACAAGTCAGGACATCATTATTTCTGGTCAGTGTCAGGGATGCACCAATGCAGGAGGCAGTGAGGATGACATGGAAGCAGAGAGAGAGCATGCTAAGGGGATTGAGTGGGTGGCTGACAGTAAGAGAATAAACTGGATTTTTTTTATATCAACCCTTAACTATTCTAACTATGAATCCCAACTTTATTCAATATAAAGTGAATACTCAACCAAGGTGCATTTAGTCTTTGGACTATTTCTTGATTCCTAAAGCTACAGCCTAAAAAAGGACAATATGTTGTAGCATAAAAAGCAAAACAAGAACCCATTTTAGAATCTAAAGGGAAAACCCAGCACTAGAGTTTTCCCAAGTTCAGGAAAAGACTCATCTTAGGGTTCATTCCCACCAGTCTGGTTCAGTCCTTTTCAATCCAACTCCAGTCTGTTTGCCTAGAAAGTCCGGTTTGTTTGGTGAGGAGTGAATCAAACTCTGATGGCGATCAAACGTGAGTTTCGCTTCGGTTGAAGTGAACTCTGGACTCTACTGTAGAAATCCATTTAAATGTGGGAAAGCCCAGACCGAGTACTGGGGGGAGGTGAGAATTTAGCAGAATCGTGTAGGAAGGTAAAGTTTATGTCTGTACAATCATAAAGAGACTTCATGCATAGACATGTTTATACTTTTTATAAAACATGTTTAAAGTTTAGAGAAAGTATGCAAGCACCCTTAAAAAGACCAGACCAACGTTTGCCAAAGAGAACCTGTGGAATAATGTCCACTGGACAGATGAGAATGAGACAGAATGATGTGGGCATCAGAGAAGAGGAAATGTTTAGTGCCAACCTGCATCGTCCCAGGAAACACCATCATATCCACCATGGATCAGAAGGTGCTTGAGACAAATCTGAGACCATCCGTAGAAATGTGGAAGCTAGAACTAGATCCCGCAATATCTCAATTGGCCAAAACATTTCAGTACATACACCAAGGATTTGGTGAGAATGGAGAACTGGAAAGTCCTGGGCCTAGTCAAAGCCCAGATCTTGATCTGAATTAGATGCTGTGCGCTGTTAGCTGCAAATGAGGAATGGGCAATCTTTCATTGGACGGATTTTAAAGATGTCTCTGAGAAGTACCAAAGGCATTTCAGCTAATAGCTAATAGCTATAGCTAGTTATTAGCTATTAGGATGCCATAACTTTTGTTTGGCTTGCAAATATTGTCTTGTTGATAAACTATAACACTTAAAGCAGTCAAGTGTAATTACATCAACAAGAATATTTATTTTGATCAAACTGAATATCTAATCGTTTTAACTGCCGTCATTACAAAGTTAAGTGGATCTTAATGAGATGCTTCATTTGATCTCCCTTATAGCCGCAAATCAAAGTTATAGCAGGAGCGGCTTTTCTCACACTCCTTTTGCCCCTCAAGCCCTCTTCCCTTCATTCCTTCATTTCTACCTCACCCCATCCCTCTCATCAACACTTAAAAGTGTGCGCTCTTATTTTTACAAGGACATATACAGGCGGGATGACAAACTGCCGGCAATTTCCCCGCCAGATTGTATTGCCGCATTCCTTGATAAGTGTTCGCGAAAGTGGTGACCCTCCAATATCCGGCAGTTATCAATTTAAGATCCATCATGAAAACTTCAGGGTTCTTTTGGTTATTTTTTTTAATATCAGGTATTGAACTTGCATCCTTTCAACAATAAAGCTTCAACCTCTTCTTCAATATCTGCTTCGTTACCAAAAGTAAAAGAAAAGGTTACGATCGAAGGAAGGAATGGGGAGAAAAAGGGGGACTTGAAGGAGGGGTTTATCTATGAGTGGTACATTATATTTTCTTCACTTTAAGACTCTTGAGCTGTCAACATGATGGATAATGTTTTAGGGCCGGTTCTCCTGGGAGTGATCTGTTGTCCGTACCATCAAGTGTGGAGAGCAGAGACAGAAAGAGAAAGAAGAAACTGACAGAGGGAGCAGAAGCAGTCCTCATTACAGCCCAGCCTGCTGGGGGTTGACCAAACTGGGCCCATTTCAAGCTGAAAGTTTAAAGAATTTCCCCCTCGTCTCTTTTCAACCAGAGCCTCTCTGTACTTAAATAACAAAGACAAAGACACACATGCATGCGTCTTCGGCGCACACTCCGTGCCCTATCTCCGGCCTGTGGGAACTCATTATCTTCCCAGACGAGCAGTGCCACAAGTTGGTCTCCTGCCACCGTGTCGCTTTGTGACGCCGGGTTCAGATGCGTTGGTTGGGAGGAGACGGAGAGGCAGGGACCGGTTGACGCGCAAGGTTTTGTTTTTAGTCCTCTGGGCCTAGCTGGGTGCATCTGTAGAGGGCTTATGGACCTGGGAGATTTATTAAGAAAGAAAACTCAGTGCTAATCAGAACTCATAAAAACCAACAGAATTGACTCTAGAACAGTGTTTCTCAACCCTGGTCCTCAGCGCCCCCCTGCTCTGCATGTTTTAGATGTGCCTCTATTCCAGAACAGCTGATTCAAATGATTGCATGACCATCAGGTACCGCAGAAGCCTGTTAATCACCCAGAGATACAATTCAGGTGTGTGGCAGAAGGGAAATACCTAAAACATGCAGGACAGGGGGGCGCTGAGGACCAGGGTTGAGAAACACTGCTCTAGAAGAAGTTAAATGAGACATTAAATGACTAAATCACAGAATAAGTAATATGATTTGTGAGCAAAACATTCAAAAATTCCCCAAACACCACATAACTATTTGTTCCAATATTGCTGTAAGCAAAGAAAATGTGTCAAAAACTTAAATTTGAAAAAAAAAAAAAAAAATTAAAAATAAAACTTCTCAATCTTTTTCTATTTTTTTTTCTTTTTGTGACTGAGATCTACAAAATTGCATGATTTTCAAATCACGTTTTACAAATCGTGTTCCACACTTCTGGGGGCGGGACTTCCTCCAAAGGAAGACATTTGTTAGCAACATCATTAATTAATCAGTACAAGGCAAGTGCAAGCATTTCTACTGGTCAGCTTGTACACAAAGCTTTTTCTGATCCAGGTTTTTCAAAATAATTTGAACTCTTTTGGGACAAGAACCATTGCAGTCATAACTGCTCCTGTTTCCTTAAAGGGCCAGTACACAGTGAAGTTTTCTGATGATAACTGATTTACAAGACCTGGCAGGGAACACCAACAAAGGGGAAGCCATCAGTGAGATCATGAGGAGTAACAAAGTGGGCTTAGTGACAGAACGCAAGCTACATAACAGAAGGATCTGACAAAGAGTATTATTTAAATGCTGGGAAGGTGATTTATGGAGCTAGAATGAGGTGAGTCCTATTACACAATACAGATAAATAGGGACATGAATTAATGACTGATGGAAAATGACTGAATAGGTAAACACTGAAAGAAATAGAAAGAATATCACTAAAAAGAATAATTCGACAGAGTATAAAACAGTAATGATGTCCCACAGATGATGGCTAAAAAAAAAAAAAATTCTGAGGTTTTCAAACTAGACCCACAAGTAAGAGATTTTTATAGCTTAAACTGAAAGGTCACAGCAGATCTTGTAGACAAAAGGTGAAATCAGATGTATGTGTGTGCTACGTTTTCTTTACGGTCTTGAAACTTTAAAGATTTTCCATTGCTATTTAATAACCCGTTTTCAAAGATGAACGCCGTTTTCTTGCTCTGTCCCTGTTGGTGCCACAAAGAAGACAATCATCACCTTTAAATCTTTTTTTTCAAGCAGACAGTCTTTTCGAACTCGTACCAAACGGCTGTCTCAGGCGCATCGACGCCGTGACCCTGGATGGAGGTTAGCAGGTCATCCACTCACCGTTGCTCCTTTGATCTACGTGCAAGCTCTCAAAAATAGGTCAGTGGCGTAAACTAAATCCAATAGGATATTGCTTTTCATTGATTTTTTTTTTTTTTTTACCCACCCTGGGATAATGCACATATTTCAGAGGATGGATCGGTCTGGATCTTTGTGTATGTGTGTGCATAAACAACTGTTGGCTGTAAGCACTGATGATTAGTCATTACAGAAGGTGTTGACAAATGTTTTCATCACAGCGGTATATGGAAATATAACTCCTCTCTGACATATAGGAGACATAATACTGTATAAGACAATAACTTAGAGCGAGTGTGGTATTATTACTGCACTGTGCCGGGAGAGACACAGAGGAGAGTTATTTGTTAAATGCCACCACGACTGTACTGAGGTCTTAATTGGATTTCCTCTCACGGTCAAAATGCCCCCTCCAGTTTTTATGGGAGTGACCTCGAACTCTGTCACACAATCACACACACACACCTGCAGCCTTAGTCGGCAGTGGAGGCACGCAGGTTTGGAGTATGTAGAAGCAGTGCTGTCATCCTGTTAAAAGTGGGAGAATTTAGTAGGATTTAGCTTGATGTGTAGCTGCCATCACGGCATCTCTAATAAATTTAATTCATTATTTTATTGTTCAGTTAAAAATGGCAATAAATACATATTAGCGTTCTCCCCACAGTACAATAAATATCTGTTGAAACCCAAGAACAACGTTGAGCCTTAATTGAAATCAAGAGGAGTAACATGATGTAAAATAGACATAAAACTGTGCATTTTTACTCTGCAAATAGTTTTTTAAAAAACATTTTGGGTCTCCTAAAATACTTTTAACAAAGTAGTTTCAGAAAAAATCTGAGTCTAGTAAAAAAAAAAAAGTAATATAACGCCATCTTTTCATTCATTGCTGGACTGATGTCTTAAACCTTCTTCTTGCTTCAACTTTAGTTGACCAATATTTAGAAGCGTAGACAACAAACTGAACGGCTCCGTTCACTTCCTCTGCAGTGTTACCAAAACAGCACAGAAACATCGACGTTATCGTTCATAATTCCTACTTCTGTTTGTTGATTGACCTGGTTGAAATTCAATCGGTGAAATCACGCTCAATGGGAGAAATGTTACACAGAGCAGTGAAGGGAGATGCAGAATTATGTTGGAAGACATTGGTTGAATTAACGCATCCTGGAATTGTCCTGAAAAATATGTAATTTAAGTATTTTCCTTAAATTTAAATTTCTTCCTTCCTTTAAAACATTTTCATCGGCACACAAAAATCTGCAGAAAATTCATTCTGAACAGTTACATTTACTTCTAAATAATCAAATGTATATTAAAATCTGGAAAAGTCAATTTTGTCAAATGAAAAAGCCCAGCCACTCAAACATTTCCATGACGGATTTGTTATTCTATGTAAATTGTTCACGTGGTTCTATAGACTGAAGGAAGACTGGAATGAGTGTAGGAGCCCTGAAAGTAAAATCCTTTGTCTACTGACTTTGTTTCAGCTAAATTAGGTTCTCAGCCCCGTCGTTTCAGAAACAAACCTGTCCGCCTGTTTGCAAATGGCAGAGCTGAAACTAATCATCCTCGCCTACACATTCTGCCTTCATACATACTATTCTTTGGTGTTTTACTCCTGCATGCAGGTCTTCAAACTCCCACTCCAGCTCCTGCTATGTCTCTCATTTTAGCCTGGATTCCTCCATACGAGTAGATTGTCTGGAATGCACCACTTCCTGAAACCACAGGTGTGATAAATTGGTTCGTCTTCCTAATTAGACTTAATTAATGCTAACGAGGCTATCAACGTGAAATCGTGTGCGTCGGCAGTGTTTAATTACAGACTGCATAAATAAAGTGAAGCGTTACCATGAAGTCAGCATATTGTTGACTGTTTATATTTGGCCAACATAGATCCAGCCGGTGCGTTCATTTACATACATGATAAGGAAATTGCACTGCATGGCTATTAGCATGTAAATAGATTCATTCAGCACCCGGCCCATTGAGGCAACAATTGCCCCTCTCAGAGAGCAGAAGAAATAAGCTCTTTCAGCACCGTGGTGCGAGCTTTCAGATGGTTTAAATACATTTTAATGTGGCAGGCGGCTCTCCTCAGCAATGAGGAAGTGAACAGTAGCCACTTTCACACAAATTATTTATCCGCTCGTTTTTTTTTCCCATTCTTTCTTTTGTTCTCGCTTTGTATGCGAAAGGCAGAATGTCACAATTAATATTCACGGCCGACTTTGCGCCAAGATCCCTGGAGAATTTTAGTGCCAGATGACGAGCAGGCTTCCAGGGGTCACCCGGCAATCCGGTCGCTCTCTGAACATGCATCGGCTCTCAGCGGCAGTGACCTCATAACTACCGCTGCCATGATCTTGACCACCAATGTCACGCCTTGTCCTCTTCTGCCACCTGTGGGAATCCTTCCTTGCTAACTTTTTTTCCTTCCATTTTTTACTCCAGGAGGCCATTCAGCTCATTTTCATCAGATTTCCCACAGGAAATGGCCATAACATGTAGCTGTGTCTATCCCTTGCTGCCTTGTGCATCCATAAAGGAAAATAACAATCTGTTTTCGTGATTTGTCAACTGTTGCCCTCGTGGGAGATATAATGTACACATGGATTGTCCTTGAATTCTTTTGTGCAGCGGTGTTACAGTTGGAATGAATAACTTTAGTACACCAGATCATGTTCCCCAGGGGCAAACCCCCCAAAATTTTAAAGAAGTCTCTTAGGTTAGACACATAGGAGTTGATGTTTAATTGCAATAATATCCCCTTTAATCCATTTTATATTTTAAAGAACTGAAAACATTCAGGACATCCATTTGTTCACTTGAGAAGCAGGAAGTTGCACAGGAAGAGAATATGAGCAGAAATGCTTTGGGCAGGAAGAATCTCCAGTGGCAGTCAGTCCAACAACAAATCCGAAAGGCCTCTGACTTAAGACTGTTGCTCTTTGCTCTCCTGACCGTCATGACATGATGAATACCTAAAAATCCTAGCAGCACAGATGATATTCCACAGAATCATCAATCTAAAACATAAAATGCAATGAGAACTTGTTTTGTGTGGTCCTGGCACTCTCCAGGTTGACCTGGACAGTGAGTTGCATCGCACATTGGCAAGAGTCTTCTGTCCAGAAGTGCTTGTGCTACATGTGTACTTTTTGCTTGTTTGTCTTGCTGATATCGTCTGTTAAACACACCCACTTCATTCCCTTTTGTCCTTCAAACATGACTCCTCCTCTCTTCTCCGTGGCCCTCCTCTTCCTCCCAAACTCCCTCTGACTGAAAGGAAGCTCCCTGTGACCTCCTGTTATCTTCCTCCCATTCACGCCATGCCACGTGCCGCTCCCCTCACCCCTTCCCGCTCCGATGGGCGCCAACAATAGAGAGAGTACAGCCAAGATGGCAGCCACCCATCCTCCTGTCTGGGCCTGCTCTCCCCCCTGTGGGGCCAGTCGCGTATCGGCCCAGCCAATCTTAAAACACGTCTTCCGCGACAAATTGGCCAGTTTACTTAAGAGTCTGCTGTGGCCCATGAATATTTGATGTGGTCAGGGCTGTGGAGTGGAGGGATACAATGACGGGGGTCTTATCTTATTTAGCCAGACAGAGGGGGTCGAATCCTGGCCCGACCCAGAACACTCCGCTCCCTCTCCTGAGATCTAGAAGAGTCCAGTCCTGGAGAAGATGAAAAACATTTTCTTCCCATTTTGCGCCACACCTTTGAAGTACAAAAAGCGATGGTGTAGAAAAGGTACCAACCAGCGCCGTTGGAAGAAGTCGCTCCTTTTCCCTCTCTTTCTGTGACTGACATTTGGGGAAATCGTACAATGGGCTTTTAACACGTTTAATGGACCCGGGAGTAACACAACATACTCCAGCATGCTCCCTGAATCCACTGAAAGAAAAATGCTAATTTCCTTCCTTGTAACAAAAAGAAAACATGCTCACAATTTCAAAGAAGCTCTGCATCGCGCCCCTTACATCTGGTGCCTCTTCTTTAGAGAAGCAAGAGCTTGATTGTAAAATCAAGAGGCATTGTTCAAGAGGAAATGTTGGCAGAAGTTTTCCCAATTACCTCTTCCTCCCCTTCTCCTCTTCGTCCCCCTGGACTCGGGGGGGGTTGGCGGTATGATTTTAAAAAAGTCCTCTCATATTGCCTCGGCTGTGATGGCTAGTAATACTGTAGCCTCCAAATCAATGGAGCCTGTCCTAGATTTCGCTGCGGTCTCAACTCTCGCTCTATAAAGGGATCTGGAGGGCACTCTATATTTTTATTACCTGCAGAGAGAAATGGAGAGGCCAGAACCTGGATCTTATTTCTCTCTCTCACACACACACATACACATTTATGTATTTACTGCACACCGATGCACATCACTGCAAACTTGCATATCCTAAAAAGTGAACCTGCAAGCATGCAAATACTGCAAGAATGCACATATGTGAGCATGTGAACTACAGCAAACACACCAGCTGTCCACTGGCTACCTGAGACCCCTCACGCCGCGGAAACAGGGACCCCAGCAGAGGCTGTCTCTCTTCATTAGAAGATGTGCGCACATACAAACTAACACACACACTCAGTCACACGATGCAAATGCCACAGTGGGTTGCGCTGACTGCTCTGCTGACTGTGCACATTGGGAGGCTGCAGCAGGAAAGGTTTCCAGAGAGAAGGGGGGATAAGAGGAAGGAAAGGGGGTTGCGGGAGGGCAGGGATGAATTGTGCAGCACAGCAAGAAGCATCCCAAAAGTTTGCAAAATGTAATAAACCATTTCTTTGCTTTGCAGCCACAGTAATGATTTGAATCTGAGTGAGGCGAAAAAGATCACATCAGAAGACCTTGAACCACTTCTGAGGTGGCCGAGGTCATTCAGCAGAGACCTTCAAGTCCAAGTCAAGTCTCAAGTCTTAAATGAGAGAAATTAAAACTGATATATACTACAGTTGAAACCAGATATTTACATACATAGAGATATTGCTTTGTCCCTGTTGGACATTAAAGCAGACAAAACTATTCCATCTTTTGAACAATTTTGACGAAAGGCTCTGCCATGTTTCATCCAAAGTGATGGCTCTCATTGTGATAAAACGTGACAAAAATTGTGTCTTCATGTTTGCAGACAGGAGTTCTCCTCCTTTTCTTGAGACCAGGTCTGGGTAGAACTATTTCAATGTGTTGTGTGATTAGTCAGAACTTTGTAGCCATGCCACTCAGACAGCAATGGTGATATTTGCTTCAACTAGTCTGCTTCTACTATCTGCTTTTTGTTTTGTTTTTTGTTTTGTTTTTTTGAGGAACATTCATCAGATGCTGTGAGGACTTATGTGTGATTCTTTGTAAAATGCCAAAGTCTTAGATAAAGTCTTATTTAAACCATGTAATTGCACATCAACTTTTCGGCTTTGGGTGAAGTGTGGGACAACCTAAAAAAAAAAAAAAAAACAAGAAGAAAAGAAAATTAATCATTTCTGTGTACTGACTGCCATAATTATGTCTTGATTTTACCTCCAAAAACTTCTAATAATTGTTGAAATGTTGGACCATTCCTCCTGACCGAGCTGGGCTCAGTTAGCCCAGCTCGGTCAGGCCGCATCGCTCATCTTTCCAGATCTGCCCACAAATGCTCTACGGGACTGAGACCAGGTTTCTGTGATGGCCACGCTAAAGTCTCAAGTCTCTAACAAATTGGACAATTAAACTGACAGAAGTTTCTTCAGTCAGACGGATCCTTCCTGCCCACAGCCATCATCAGCAACTACAACTCTGAAGACACGTGTGTGAGTTACAACATTTAATTTCCCTTTATGATTAATGAAATATTTTTGAATTAGCTTGAATTTAAATAGCGTATCGTTCAAGGACCTAATTTGCTTTATTTCATCTGCTTAGTCAGAGTGTAGCAAGAAAAACAATGACTTCTGCAGTGGGTCAGTGAGCGTGTTGGTCGATGCCTCTACACAAGTTACATTGAATTTGTCTCTTGTTCCTTACAGATACGAGCCAGATTGGCATCAGGGCACTGAAAAACCTCTGTCAGCTTGCCAGCTAATGGTGCTCACCTCTTGGAGATCTGTGGGTTAAAGGTGAACGGTGGTCATCTGTCCCGTGAGTCCCTGCTTCCCATCTAAGAGATCGGCTCCAAGCCAGCGATACATCCAGCCAGCCTTTGTCAGCAGCTAATTAAATTTACTGCAATTCATTTCACCTTAATGTGCTTTTAATTGAATTACAGGGTCAGTCATGGGGAGGGTTCAGGGAGGGGTGAGCAGGACAGAGAGGAGTGGCCGTGAGGTGAGGTGAGGTGAGGTGAGGTGAGGTGAGGTGAGGCGAGGCGAGGCACCCAACATACACACACCGCCTGGCAAGAGTGTGAGCAAGGTAACCCTCTGATTCACTCAGAGCATGAGGAGAAAGACGAAAAGACGCAAGAAGCGGATGAAGCTTTCATAATGATGTGATTGTTTGTTTTCTGGAGTCAGCAGGATTCAGGCCCTGAGAGAAACTGCACATCTGTAACCAATGCGAAGGGGGGAGGAGGGGACCGATAAGACTTTGATGTGCTGATAAGGAAGTTGCAATGCCTAGGTATGGTTGGTGCGTTCTGGAGTAAAATAAGTGTGGGGAAGAAAGGCGGCACTCTGTGATAGCCAGAGAGAAAAGGAAAGATGAGAAGAGCGACAGAAGTGATGAGAATACGGC